TTTTTTTTTTTTTTTTATACTGTACATATATAAGGCTGAATTTTCTTTTCAAAATTCCGATTTATATTACATATCAAAATTTAACACAAATCCCATTTTACTGATTTGCTGCTCCCATACGACGATCCATGTTATTTTTATCTCATTATAATGAGAGAGTAAACATTTTTCATTATGCTAAATATATATATATATATATATATATATATTTTATTATAATATATGAAGCTGTCTTCAAGTATATATATATATACGTAAACAAAATCACAACTCTTAATTTTGTTATAATTAAAAAAATCTTATATCCTGCTGTAAATCATCATCGTACCTTGTATTTTTTTTTAATTTTTTTTTTTTTTTTTATATATAACGAGAATGTTATTCATATATTATTATTGCAATACTTATTTTACATACTGACAAATCTTTCAGTAAACAAATAGAGTTTTGTATTTAGTTAGCACTCAACTTTACAGAGATGATTTATGATGTTCATTTTTATTTGGATTGTTCATGAACACATGATTCCACGATACACAATTATATATTCACCATTTTACCATTTTTTTATTTTTTTTTTTTTATTTTGACAACAATATAATCTGAATATTATGGAAAAAGAAATTCAAGTAAATTCTGCATATATCAGAGACTGTATATTTTGCCAAGAAACTAGAAGAAAGTTGTTTTTTTTTTTTCCCCCAACTGTATTAAATAAATAGATCGTCTCTTTCAAGTCCTGGCTGTATTATACTTACAGATTTTTATGTATATATGCATATTTAAAAAATTTTATTGTTGTCTAATTAAAATTATTTTTATGCGTCTCATTGAAACGCAGAGAAGAATACTGAATTTGCTTGTTGTTGTTGTTGTTGTTGCTGTTGTTGTTGTTGTTGCGTTGAAGATTGAATTATAGGTGACGTATATCCTAATGTTGGTGCTGTTGAAAAAATAAGTTTACATAAATAAAATGATTGAAATAAAAAAGAAAAAAAAATAGAATAGACTATTAATATTATATACAAACCTAAAGGTTTAATTTGATGCTGTGGGCTAGTACTAGCAAGTTGATTCATAGTTGGTGCTGGTCCAGATTGTTTTGATTTACTACCCATTATGTTATCAAGATCTATATTCAAACCTGAGCCAGCCCACGTTGAGCCAATTTGCAAGGAAGACATATTATTTGCTGCTGTATTCTTGACATTAACAGATGAGGGAGTGAGAAAATTTGCAACAGATGACAGTCCAATTGTTCCTAAATGCAACATGTAATACACACACCATGTTGTTAATTCCCTTTTGTGCAATAAATGAATATTTCATATATCAATATATTATTTATAAATTAATTTTCAAACGTGGAAAATGTAATGTATACACAATATTAAGTCATTGAAGAAATATATTTAGAAACTTWTGATACAATGTTTGTTTGATATTTTTGGATATTCTTTTGAATACAGATCTATATCAAATGAATGAGATGAATCATTAAATGCTTATATAATATAAACTATCCTATCTTTCAAGTTGGATRAAACTGTACAAAGTGGGCAACATTTTATTAAAATCGGTTCAGTAGTTTAGGAGTTCATTGCGAACAAACAACGTGACACGTAATTTATATATATT